CTGGACTCTACAAACAAGTATTCAATCCCTTCCCTAAAAATAGAAATGGCAAGTTATTTTCATCACATGTATCAATATTTTTGCATATCCTAGCCTTCATACAGCAGCCCTAAAGGCAGCGCTGTCAAAAGGTTCACGTGAAAGCCCATTTATTTCCCTGCACAGCTATTCACCAGTAACCTTGGCCGTGGGGAGCACTGCTTGGCAAGGTGAGGACTCCAGGCTGGCTGCCTGGATTGAGATCCAAAGCTCCAGGAAGATCACTTCATTTGGGCAGTCAGACAGTGCCACTGGCAATCAAAGGAACCCTTTCCAAGAACAAAAGCATACAGATACTATAGACTCATAGAATCATAGAATGGTTTGGGTTGGAAGGGACCTTAAAGATCATCTAGTTCCAACCCTGCTACCATGAGCAGGGACACCCTCCACTACACCAGGGTGCTCAAAGCCTCATACAACCTGGCCTTGAACACTTCCAGGGATGGGGCAGCCACCAAAACTCTGGGAAACGTGTTCCAGTGCCTCACCACCCTCAGAGTGAAGACTTTCTCTTTTATGTCTCATCTAAATCTCCCCTCTTTCAGTTTAAAGCCATTGCCCCTTGTCCTGTCACTACACACCCTTGTCAAAAGCCCATTTCCAGCTTTCCTGTAGGCCCCCTTTAGGTACTGGAAGGCTGCTAGAAGGTCTCCCCAGAGCCTTCTCTTCTCCAGGCTGAAGAAGTCCAACTCTCTCAACCTATCTTCACAGGAGAGATGCTCCATCCCTTGGATCATCTTCATGGCCCTCCTCTGGACCCGCTCCAGCAGCTCCATGTCCTTCTTGTGTTGGAGACTCCAGAGCTGAATGCAGTATTCCAAGTGGGGTCCCACAAGAGCAGAGTAGGGGGGCAGAATCACCTCCCTCGACCTATCACAGGTTCATTTTACAGAAACAACCCTGGAAGTGACAGTGTTGGCTCTGTGCTTTCCTCCCACCAGTGATATCTGATACTCATGTCCAAGTTATTTGTCAGTAGTATGAACTCAGCCAGGATTTCTAGACTCAGCACCCATTCCTTCACAGGATGCCAGCACTGAAAATGCATCATCACTGGTCCATATTATGCCCTGAAACATGTTTTTGTAGGCTTGATGCCATCAATAGTGTTTTACAGAAGCTGTAAATTGGTAAATCATTGGGCCAATGCTGCAGGAGGAATAGGAGTCTCCAGCTCACATCCTCTTTACCTTGTCAGAAGTGAAAAACAGTGCTGGGAATCTCTATAATCATTGGAGTAAGACCTGCTTTCCCATAACAATTCTCCAGATTAGAGCTGTATTACAATTACATATTGAGATGAGCTGATGTTGCTGGGAATAACCCCAAAGGGTCAGTGTTGTCTTCCACATGGCTGCTCTGTGACTTGGTAAGTTACCGCACTCTTTGCTCCGACACCGAAGTAACTCTCAGGAGTTACAAGCAGCAGGCACACAGCTATCCCTTGTCCTACCAACAGGCATCATTTGGGGCTGAATTACTCACGCACCAGAGGACATTCCCCACCTCATGTCTCCAATCGCATCCGTCTGAGCTCCTACTCTCATCAGAGTGCCTGGATGTCCCAACACTTAATGATGCCTCCTTGAGAAAGAAAAGACCCCTTTTCACCTGGAGAACTAAGGAAGAGGGAGAATGAAACAGTCCTGCTGTGGTTAGATGGGAAACTGAGAGCTGAATCTTATTTTTCTGATTCCCAACCAGTGCCCTAAACATTAGCCTATTTTTTCTCCATAACAGATTCAAGCTGTGACAGGACTCTGACATATGGATTTCCTCCCTCCCAAGGTTTTTTGAGCATTTGGGTTTTGATCAGTCACTGTCACCACCATGTTTCTTCAAAGAGATGCTCCGAACCGTTCTAATGAGCATCAGCCACAATCTGAAACAGGGAGAAAGGGAGAAACGGTTCACAGATCCTCAGAGCTACTATGCGGATATGTGGTTGAGATCAAAGGGGACTGCAGATGAGAACAGCAGCACTTAAAAGAGATCTTCAGAGTTGTGTTTCCCTGCACAAAGTTTTATGTAACCACACCACTTTGTTCTCAAATATTTAAACAGGTTAGTGACAATGAATAAACTATAATAATTATGACATGACAACACATTGAAGCCAGTGTGGTGAAAGTGCTTTGTATTCCCAGCCACTCTACAGTCGTCATCATCTTCCATATCTGACCGTGACTCAGATCCAAGAAAGTATTAGAACAAACCAGACTGCTAACAAATGAATAATTAGACATATTCTTGATCAACAGCTTCCTTTACATAGACGCCCGTGTGTTGACTATACTACAGTGTCATCAATAAAATCTTTGGCTGATAAGTCAGAGCGCACAACTCTGTGCTGAGAAATACAGTTGCAACGTGACAACTCTTCACAAATGTGGTTTTTTAGTTTGAGCCATGCATGAATTGAAGAAATTACAGCTAAGATACACGAAGCAAACATTAGTAACAACAACTAATCAAAACTTCCCTTTATCTCCCACCAAAGGACTTCCCAAAGATCAGGGGGGTTTCCATAAGAGAGAGCCTACAGCTCTTCCCTTCTTGCTCTTAAGCAAATATGTTTTTCTTTAAGCATCTCAAAACAGTGTAGACTTTGTATAAAGTTTCCTGCTAAACGTCCAATGAGATACAAATAAATATGTGTTTGGTAAGAAGCTATGAACTCCTCTGACAGTTATTAGGTAGTTCTGTCCACTTGTTGGTGAGCATGCCTCCAACAGAGACGATGTGAGCTCTGGACACAGGGCTCGGTGGGAAAGCCAAGGACAAGCATGAGCCATGAAAGCACCACTCTCCAAAGAACGGTCAGGAAACGAAGAGACAGAGGTCCACCACTTCCCTGCTCCCAAATAATTTCCAGCAGTTGTCGTACGGTTACTTGTCTCTCATCCCAGGCCCCTTCCAAAAATGACATGGGCTTTACTGCTCAAATAACAGCGCAAACAGGACTGAGTATTGCTGCCAGTGTAAGAAGAGGCACAAGTCTGCAGGACTGAGCCTTTCCACCCCTTTCCCCGAACCAGACCTCTTCACTACACCCTGTTCCTCAAACTTTTCTTTGCCTCTGCAAATCCTACCTGAGGTTCCATAACCTTACAACTCCCCCTCTCCATGACATATTTCCTACAAGGACAACAAAAGAAAATACTTCAGTAATATCCTTTTATGCACTCTGCTTTCACAGGATTTCCCAGATATCTCTGTCTTCAAAGGATGCAGTATGGGAAACACTGGGACAAAAGGTTTGCTTTGTTTGTTTATTAAAACAGGTATCTATAGCTTCAGTTGCAGATAAAGTATCATAGTCCTTTGTGCCATAACTTTAATTAAACACATTTAAGATTTTTAATTTCCATTTTCATCGTGTGCGCACAAACTATTTTTCCTGGAAAAAATGACAGAATTTAAGAATATTTGTTAGTTGCAGTTATAATTACTAGGTATGCTTTTAGTGGAATTTAAAGTAACAGTTGATTGGTTTGAATTAGTGGTAACTGCAAAGACAAAATATCCTATGTCATGGTAGCACTGTAAGTGAACTATTTACTTCACAAAGGCTTTTCAGCCTTTCCTCGGGTGGAGAGAATGGGAAAAGTTGCAGAAGAATAAGATACAATCAATGTAAGAGCTGGAGGGACTGGAGCAGGAGGAAAAACTGAGGGTGGATATTGCAAGAGATGCAGTGGGGGTTATTAAAGCTGGTTCAACAAAATCAGCTACTGAAATCACAGCTTGTCCTCAAAACAGCTCTGAAAAAACTGCTTCCACACTTTCCCCCTGCTATTGCCCCTTACCCAAAAGCCTTGCTGGTTCTGTTTTGGGCTGCCTGGGATTTTCCCTGTCTATTGAGGAATGGAAGAAGTCCTCATCCCTCGCGTGTAGGAAGCTAGCATCTCCTAACTCTCCTCCCTTTGACCCCATGGTCAAATCACCCTGAATACACCACTGCTCCTTCACCAGGATACCTGTCCTGGTAGCCTCCGACACCTGTAGAGTGACTGTGACCTCTGTGACTATTAGCCATAAACATAAAATCCAAAGGAAAGTTATAAGTTATCCCCTACAGGTAGTAAATAAGTGTAGAAATAACATTAGTTCAGTCATTTAGGCTGGATTTTTAAACATATTTAAGGACCAAACATGCTGTGAGGCACTAGAAGTATTTCCAAAATCACATCAGGAGTTTCTATCAATTTAAATAGGAATCAGGCAATTTAAGAACTTCAGAAAATCCCGTGTATATGAGTACACATCCATTCAACAAGTACTTTAGTGTCTTTGAAAAAGTGTCTTTTTACTCTTCTCCACTACAAACTAATATGTTCAAACTACAAACTTGAAAATACTCTTTTATCACTATATTCAAACTAATTACTTAGAATATTTAACTGACCTAATAAATGATTCTCCTTTGCTTCACTTTTAGTACATTTGGCCTTTTTAGTAGCAGCATGGATCCATTCAGTCTACTGCAGAATAAACCAAATGATGGTCTTTTCTTACATCCTTTCCTAAACCCAGCATAACAGCATTTGCAAATTATCTCTTGCTTTTCCTGTTGACGGCTCTGATTATAATTTACAGTCATCTTGGATTACTATAAATTAAAAAAGTCTCTTGCTAACACTGCCAGAACATATTCAAGATCCATTCAAATTCAGCTTCTTCACACTTTTCGCTATATTAACTGAAGTCCTTGTAAGGCTTCTTCTTTTTCAAGCTTGCTTTAAAAAGCTGGCAAAAAAGCTGACAAAAGAAAAAGTAAGAGCAGCAAATCATGAGGGTTTGGGTCTTATTCTCAAACGGGTTTGCAAACCTAGAGCGCACGTAAACCATACGCTGTGTGTATAAGAATGCAATTTGTGGCAAGATAAAGGTATGCCTATGTAAAATCTCTGTGTGTGCATATGTACACAGAAGAAACTGTGAACCTAATAGCATTTTTAGATAGTCAGCATTTGCTTTTTCTGTAGACTCTTTCTCAAAAGCACACCAAAACGACGCAGAAGACTCCAAAGAGCTCTTTCCTCCAAAGCGTGTCAGTTGGCTAGAAGAGATACTTCAAGTCCACTAGTGCTGCATACCTGCTTCTTTCAACAGCCTTTGCTTAGGAAAACTTCCGTGAGGAAGAATGCCACTGAAAATAAATAAAAAAAAAATACATACACATATATATATATGCACTTATATGCTGTTTTTATAGAGATTAGTTCCACTCAGTAGATAAATAGGATGAAGGATGCAAAAATTTCATCCACGACCTCAGACCTGTGCCTGACCTGGAGTATTTGTAAGCTTGTGCATTGCAATAGTTCTGCGTGCAGCCATCACACATCAGCTGTGTGTGCTGATCCTGGATTTGGTTTGACCAGTTTCTGGTTTTCTTAGTACGGTTTGCTTAGCTTGTTGGAGGCTGCTCTAGTGTGATACACCCCAACTGCCTCTCAGTGCGATAAAACCGAATGAGCAACTCCCATTTAATCAAGACTGTATGAGGGAAAAGGTAATCCACTCAACGACAAGGACTTTACTGATGGTTAAGCAAGAGTTAACAGAAGCGTGCTTCTAATTGCCAACAAAAAGTTTTCCTACGAAGGCTAAATGGGACTAAAAGCCCAAATACATCCTCAGATGCATCTATACAACCCCACATCTCTCCCCAATAATAGCTGTGTAAAGCCCATTAGTCTTTTTGCTGTTAACATCCATGTGACTGTAGGATAAACTTTAGACAAATTATTTTCTTTTTTTTTTTTTTTTTAATTTGCAGATCACTAAAGTTGGTCGCTGTTTTTTTTTTCCTCAGTAGAAGTGCAGCTCTGAAAGTAAATTTAAGCCTACTATCAAACCCACTTTTTTCAGTTACTTTTCAGAGAGGCTTAGAAGCCATCTGTGGAGTCCCTAGGAGCTGAGCACGACAAGCTGAAAATCTCTATTTTAGACAATGCAGCTGCAAATACTGTGGTTTGGACAACAGAGACTTTGTTACTGGTTGTCACATAGACAGTAGAGAAAACCCTCTTTGACTGTCCCAGCCCAGGTTAAGATTTTTGTGCATTAGCAGCTAGAAAAAACAGTATTTTTACTTGTAAACTGAGCAAGAAAGTCGATGAACATGCAGCTTTTCTCACTGCCTTTTCCATTGATTCAGTCTTCAGAACTGAACTGAGCTTTGAATTAATGCACAAATCTGATGAAGGACAAAACAACATTTACCTTAACATTGATAAATACCCAGCCGAAAGTAATTACTTCTTCCACTGTGGCTCATTAAGCAAATGTTCCATTAAAGCCGTAGAGTTAAATAATGAAGGAGATGAAAGAGTTAAGGTTAGCATGCTACTGTGCGAATGTGAAAATATTTAAAATGCTCAGATGGTATTTTCAAAAAGCTGGATCTTTCTCTCTCTGTTTCCAACCTACCCCAGTTCTTCCTAACCTCTCCTTACTGACAAAAAGAATCTTGTCATTTTTGCCTGGCTGGAGCTGGAAGGATCTGGAAGGGCTGCAGGGACATGGTAAAGTGCTGGATTTCAGAGGACTTAAGCTGAACACCACCATGGCTACTCCAGCTGAGCTCAGAGTGCAAGAATATGTTGAGAGGATGGGTTTGAGCTGGGAGTGTTAGATATGGGGCTGCAGAAGGATCTCAATGCCATTATATAAAATAGGAAGGTTAGAGTAAGGTGGCAAAATGCTGGATAGCACTGACTGAATTCACATGAGCAGGTTCTTTTCCACATTATGGTTTTGACTAGGTGTCACAGCCCTACAGCCCTGTTGCTACGGTAAGGAAAGACAGGGATAGCAGAATATCATCTTGCTTAACAGCTTGGCTTGATTTCTCCCGTTGTGCTCCACTTTCACGTGGCAGTATCTCTGCAATAACTAGGCATAAATGGCCAGTGCTAAGCACCCAGCAGCACCAATTGCTTCGTAGAGGAACAGCCATGGGATTGTGTCCTGCGGCCAGCCCACAGAGTTACACTTCTGGTATTCTCATTTCATACTGTCCTGTTCATTAATTTATCATGATTCATCTTTCAAGTATTTAGTTAGTTTGTCCATGCCCCCACTACTCCTATTGGAAAGCTGTTCCAGAAGCCCAGAGCTCTGGTACTGGGAACCCTCTTATTTCCAGCCTAAAGTTATTCATGGCCAGTTTGTACTCATACTTCTTATTTGATGCTGCAGACTCTGCAAGTAAAGAGTAGCGAGTCACAAAATGCTGCAATCCATATTCTCAGCAAGCCAGTACTTCAAAAACAGTGTTCAGCTCTTAGCCTGTACCTTTCGTTAGGCAACCTCAACTGGTTTAGATGCCTGCAGCAGATTTCTTATTGCCTTCAGCAGAAGAGGGAAGAACAGAAGTGTCATGCTGTTTGCAATGATCCATGCACACCTTTAAACAGCCCAGATATTTTGCTCAGTAGAAGTATGTTGAGGCTAAGATTCTTAGGATTACATGAATAAAGCATCTGGAAAACTAACTTTCGGGAAGCAAACACTCTGTATTAGTTACACAGCTTCGTCTGTCAAAAACCAAGAGTGATCTCCAAATGAGAGAAGCTGCTACAAATTTCAGGTGATACCACTGCCCTGTTTCCATTTCAACTGGAAAAGCCTACTGACCTTGCTGGCTCTAACATTACCTGAGGTGAGACCAGAAGAGATATAGTGTTGGGTCAATAGATACTGATACCTGCGGATCCAATACTGATACCTGTGTATCTAATTCAAACGTTTGTTTTCTGCAACTGTATCCACCTGCATTGCTTTTTATTAGCAGGCCATTATGAGTGTGCCTTTGGCAAATTTGCTGCTAATGGAAACGTAAACACGTCCCTCCCATGCCGTCTAAAATGATTTATAAAGAATGGAGAATGACTGTGGGACATGTTACAGTGAAGAGGTCAGAAGTAGTATAAAAAGTCCTGCTTTTTTTTTTATATCCTGCCAGTATAAAAAACACTCCCTGCCAGTAACAGACTAGTTTGTCCCAAGCCTCTTTGCTAAAACAGAAGTCCTCCCAGCGCCAGCTCTGAAAGCACAGGTCACTGGTTTTAGGAGCATTTGGCTCTATGGCCAGCCTTTATTCCCCTGCGAGGCAGGGACAGCTCTCCCAATGTCTTTGCAGGAGATGCCATGGAAAGGACTCCACCCACAAAAGCAGAGGAGTGAATTATGTCTTCTAACACACTGGACAAACCCTGCACCCTGCTTGCCACCAACACTGCAAAAAGAGGTCATCTGCAGAACTGGCTCAGGAGCTCTTGCTAAATGCCATGTCTTCTTTGCCCATGCTAAGAAGTATCTCCAAATTAATGTCAACCAGTTTTCCAGGACTTCTATCTAACTCTTGGTCTCAGGAAGACAGAACATATACATTAGCCTGATCCTGACAATCTTTAGGGGATACCACACATACCCAGGGAGGTTTACTTCCCGTTCGCAGTGGAAAAGTTCATCTAAGCGGGAAATTTTCTGCAGAGGAGGCATTCTTAGAGCTGAAATAAGTCGCAGACTACTCAAAGCTTGCAAAGCTTTTGGGAAAACTGATGAAATTGAGGGGGGAACAGATTGGGAACAAAACTTCTTGTCTACAAGGCAATAGTCATGACATTCCTACTTTGTATGCATCATATTTGGATTGCCCAGAGCTACTAAATTAGGGAAAGCTATCAATTCTGTCTAAGTTTCCTCAGAGAATTTGCAGAAGACATAAGGCAGTAGAAAGTGAAGTCCAAGGATACAGACAATAAGAACAAAAACATAACAGAATGTTCTGTAGTGAAATTAAATTTGATATACTCTCAGCTTAAAAGAAAGACACTCAAGAATATGTATTTCCACTGACATACAGAAACACGATGGTACGACAAAGAAAAAACATTTCAGAAAACAATTTATTTATGGCTTAACGACATTTAAACCAACTATTATTAAGTTAGCTGAAATGAAAAAGAAATCACTGGCAAATTGGAAAACCCTTAGGTCAATCTGACAAATTTGTTATCCTGCATGTGGGAAAACATCCCTTGCAAAATTTGAACTTCACAGCTGGATGAGAACACATAAGCAAATTTAATGCAGAGCATAAACTGTCGGTTGTCACCATCACCAACAATGCACAATCAGAGCACACCATGTAAATGAGAAACAACAGGCCTCTCTCCCTTCGTTTAAAACTACATGGAAGTCCAGATTTACCAGCAAAATGAGAGTGTCTCCATTTCACACTGGGCCAAAGTTCTTTGCAGATCTACTCAAAGCCACTTAAGATACCGTGTTCGAAAGGGTTAAATGGCAGATCCTAGAATCCCTTCGATCTCTCCATAGCCTCTGCCTAGCAGCATTGCATTTCCATTTGAACTACAAATGACCCTGTGCGCACAATCATGTAATTCATATTTATATAAACAGAGGGTACAGTATGTATAATTTGAAAGATTTCTGGGAGGGGACGCATCATAACTAAACTCCTACTTTTCCCTTGGGGAAACAATCCCATTTGGTATTAGTTAACTTCAAAGGAGAAAAGTATTTTCCCTTCTGTGTCAATAATTTAACAGAAATTTGTCATTTCTGTCCACAAATCAAACTTTCAGAGTTGCTCTAACCATCAGCAGTAAAGCAGCGACACACACACACGCGTGTAAGTGCGCACCCTCCCCGCACGCACATACAGACGTACAGAGCACGACAACTGCAACACCATGAAACGCTCCTGCAGCAATTCCTAACCATGGAAATCGAGCGTAGTTCCACTGAATTGCCAGAAACCTCTCCGCACCGGGGAGCTGTATTTCCAAGCACATACTATGGGGGCCAGGACCTCTGGTGACACGTTGTTCCAATTTTAATGAGGTCAGGTCGTGGACCAGCCTGTTCAAATCACAACCAGCACAGAAATTATCTCCTACGAAACACCACGGAAAAGTGAGACTGTGCAGCCGCCAACCCAGGAAAGCTTCATTTTGGGGTCAGTGCAGCTTTAAGCATCGTTAACATTTTTTTCCCCTCAGAGTTTGTCCAAGAGCTGGTTTGGGGGAGGCTGAAAGGTCACTGCTTGCTTTTATTTGGAAATTTATGTTGCCCTGATTGCCTAATTCAGAATTTGGGGGAGAAAAAAAAGTATGAATATTTGAGGCAACAGATTTGGATTAGAAAACTTTCCATATAAATCTTGGGCAATCATCACTTTTTTCCAACCCATTCACTGTCCGCAGCACAGAGCTAGGAAGGCATTATTTTCAAAAGGCATTAATAGGAAAAGTGCAGCAATGCCTATTGTCCATAATAAGCATACAGTTTAATTCATAGTGAGTCAAACTCTCCCAGTTTTCAAAATCTGCAAATATATTACCGATGCCATGTAAGAGCTGCAGCTCTGCCTCAATGGGAGCAACTTTTAACCCTGGATGACACCAGGTTGATATTCCCGTACTTTCAGATCCCTGGCTCTCAAAACCTCAGCACAGTCACTGTGCATCATTCACAATGGAGTCCAGCTTTCTCCGGTCATTTGCTTCTCTAGAGAAGGGGTTACTAGCAACTTCCTCGCTTGTGAAACCAATTTTAGGTCAACTACAGCATTTCATAATGGATTATAATGTTTGATAGACCTGTGAAAAATAATGTTTATAATTCATGTGTTTATAATGTTTATAATTTCATAATGGATTATAATATTTGATAGACACGGTGAGAAAATCTAATAGCCAGAAATATGTTCTTAAAGTACAGGCTAATCATGTATCCTGCTTTCCAGTGGTTTAGTTTCATTTAGAAATTATTTGAATTTTAAAATTCGATGGCGCTTTGGGCCCTATAGGTAAGTAATATTTAGAAACATAGGGCCAGTAGATTGGGGTGGTTTCCTTGACATATTATTGAGATTACACTAATTCAAACTAGCTGAAAATCTGACTCAGAAATTAAGGTATTTAAACGGAAAGTAGCAGTTCTAATACAGCACGCTCTTTCAGCCATATACAATATAAGCAAGAGAAGACAAAGGTCTCTGTTCTTTCTTACATTAACGCCTGTTCACACCACTGTGGAAATTCAAAGGTCCTTACAAAGGTGTAACTTACATCTCAAGACTGCAGGGAAAAGCCAGAGGATATTCTGAGCAGTTTGCAGGAGCCCTCCATTTCTCAGTAACGTCCGTTGCCTTAACACTGCAATGGGCTAAATGCACACCTACGATTTTTTTTACCTCTATTAAATAGCTTGTTGAAGAACCAGTGAGTGGTAAAGCATTAACAGACATAGAAGAGGGCAGAGGAGAAAATTGTACAGACAACTATAATTCTTCTCTCATCGCCTAATAGTTCCTCTTTCCACTCTTCATTTTAGTGTCCTCCAACTCAAGGCAGCAATGAAGGGACAAGACTCTTTTCTAACGTGGGTTTGCCAGATGTTCGCCACCTCCTGAGGGCCTTTCTCATCAGATAAGCACGTGCCTCACTATCTATTATGGGAGTCATGAATCCGGACTCCTGAACTTTTAAATGAACAACTCTGCCTTCATGCCAAGCAAACAGCTCTATCTGTGGGACTAAGAAAAGTTTTGCACGAGGCCGTACCCTGGCAGCAGTCAGCATAACCCCTCAAGTACAGAGATGTGCCAATGTATACCAAAAGAAAATGTGGCCCACTGCTTTGCCAGCAGACAGGTCTGAATCCATGATCTGAACAACACAGGGACGGATGATGGATGGAAAAAAGCATGTCTTTCCAGGGAACGGTGCATTCATCCGAAGAACTTCATTCACGGATAAACGACATTCTTATTCTTTGTTGGGATCCCTATTGCTCAGCTACTGCACGTATGGTAAAGTATTACAACGAGAGAAGAGGGCGAGCACTTCATCCTCCCCCAAGGAAGAAAGCACCCTTTCCAAACACGGATGCATAAAGAACAGCCGAAAGAAAGATGCCTACAGACTGCATGTCTGCCACAAAGTGCTACCAGCTTAAGGGGCCAGCTAAAGCCAGGTTGTAAACAAGGATACAAACAGCTGATTCAATCTGTTAAAACGAATTTAAAAAAAAAAAAGTGTTGATTGAAGCTGAAGCTTTATCACTCTATGTATGGCATCAAGAGAAAACGAAACAGATTTTGTTTTCCTGCAATGGGAGAGAAGCAAAGTCATGTCACCTCATAATGAACAATGAGGGATGCTCTGCTCTTGCACAGGGATTCTCCTAATGAGGTGTTTTGCCTTCCAACGGGTTAAGAACAAATTCATGCCTTTGGACTATCTTCTGGACCTTTCTTGTGCATGTTTTGAAAGAGAAGGATGTATTCCCCTAAGCATAGGAAAAGGCCCTTATATTGAAAGTGGAAAAACACATGTAAAAATCCATGCTGGTTCTTTATCGCTGAGATGGTCAAAATAGAGTTCAAAAATGTCCTTGAAAGAAGAGGAAAATATCTCAGCACACAAGTTAGTCTCAGTGCTGTGTCAGATTAATAAATGCATATGCAAATCTCTCATGAAACCACATTTTGGAAGACATTAAAAAGGAGTACTTCATGAACACTGAGAGTCAGGAACAGCTGTATAAACCTAGATGCCTACCTGCATCCCAAATTGAAAACAGATCAAAAGAACACCAAGATTTTTTCACCCACGAATGCTAAAGAGACGCTGATGCAAAATTAACTTTTTATGCAAGCTTACAGTATGAATGAGATGAAGAAAATATCAGATGTAGAAATCTAAAAAAGGGGAAAAAAAAAAAAATTCATAAATGATTGAAAGAAATAATGCATATTCTGGCTAAAAGAGTCTCCAGGAGCTACTGTTCAAGAGTACTGAATCTGTGTCAGTGAAAATTACATGATAGAGTTCAACTATTGTAGTTAAGCAGGTTTTAAAAATGATTGTATCTGAAGTAGGCTCTAGGTCTATTAAGCCACTGACTGTGGACCAGAGGAAATAATGTTCAAATATATGTTCTAGCCAGGGCCTTTGAACTTTTAACATTCCTAAGGACATACAGGATCAGGCAAAACACATAGTTACATGCTCCAAATCAAGAGTCAATCCAGTATATGGTAGCACTTAGGCAGGAAAGGAATGATTCACTTTCCAGTACTACATGCTCCAAATCAAGAGTCAATCCAGTATGTGGTAGCACTTACGCAGGAAAGGAATGATTCACTTTCCAGTATCGCATCCAATGAACCATGGAATATAACATTTTTTATTTCTTGGTGGTAACTGTAAAAATGCATTTAATTTTGGTAGATGAAGAGGGAATGCACAAAGAAGTGTAGAATAATTATGTGTTGAAAATTAAACCCAGTTGTCTGAACTGGGAAGAACAATGTAATGTACTAAAGGAGGTCTAAAGTGTTTTGGCCAACAAATTTAGAGGTCATCCAAGACGACGTATTTTGCCAACGTGAGGCAAAGGCAGTTCTCTGTAGTGCACTTCTCACCTCCATTTTTCAGTTCAGATCTATGTTTAACACCGTAGAATTCATAGTTTAGCAGCATAGGACTTTTCCTCTCACACCTGCCTAAAAACAGCAGGTGATGTCCAAGGACACAGAGGCAGGCCCAAATTCTTAGCTCACGGATGTGTGCATGTGCAGGACTCCAGAAAGAGATTTTAAAGGACAAATTCCCATTCAAGAGTGGTGTGAAAGAAGGAATTTTCTCCCAGCTGCAGACCAACAGCAAAAAAAGAGCTGGAAGAACTATGAAGCTCAACCTCTCCAGGATATCTGTGGAGCCACAGGTCTCCCAGCAAAACTTTTAACTCCCAGTTTGCATCCTGAACAAAAACCTGCAGGAAGACAGGATCCCTAAGGCCCAAAGGGTCCATGTCCACCACATGGAACATCTAAATTACAGTGTAACACGCAGTTTCAGTGCCAGAAACTCCTGCTACCCCTCCTAAGAGGCAATGGGAAAGAATAACTGTCACTGTGGAGCATCCATGCAAAAAAACTCACGGCTCCCTGAAAGGTAGAGAAGATGCCCAATGTCTTGGTGCTGCAACCATCGGTGCTGTGATGAGACTAGGGAAGTATAGCATGCACTTACTGTGATTAAGATGCTGCTTCCCAAAAAGCAAATGTAACAATTAAATGAAATCAGACGTTTTCTATGCTGATGGTGGAGGTTCTTGCCTATCAGCAAGATACCAGCATAGCAGTGATTTTTCTGGTAATCTGTCCCATGTTCTTTTCTTGCACCCTGGCTGATTGTGCCCTTAAGAGATACTACATTCCACAAAGACATGTCATTGAAAAGAGAACAAGCACAGAGCCAAAGCAACGCAAGCCAACTGCAAGCCTTGCAACGACTGGTGCCAAGATGAAGGGGTGCCCAAAGGGAGGTTAGGCAAATGATGTAATTTGAGAATTTTGGGCAAGGGAGGACGGTATTTGCTTCTCAAGGCTGTTATATACCACAAAATACAAAGGGAGACCACAGGCGTGTAACTGCCATGTGCCCTGCATTTTAAGGATGGATACACAGAATAAAAACTTTGATATATTTCCAGAGAGTCCGGGCAGTGTATGCCAGAAATATATCCCCTCCTAATCCACAGCCATATTTCCCATATTTCTTCATCACTGGTGGTATATCCCTTCTGTCCATGCAACCAGGCTAGACAGAGAAAACTAAATTCATTTTTAGGTGACTGAGGTATTGTCACCTTTTTTCCCTTTGAAAAAGAAGCGGCACGGCTTTGTAATTCCGTGCATATTAGTATTGTCATCACGTTGCAAATATTATAAAGTAGAACAAACAAATGGTCTGGAAACTGAGGAGAAAAAAAGTGAATAGTTAAGCTCGGGGTGAAGTTTTCAAACACTGCTTGCCATTCCAAGTCTTTTTGGTTCAGGATGCTCAAGTTAAGGTATTTTAGAAGGGTTTCAATTTTTTTCTGAATAGGTGGTCAGTAGTCCTTTGCGTTACATATCCATAAGATACGTCCAGCCGTGCTCAGACACTGCACATGGTTAAAGGTTTTCTCTACCTCACTCCCAGGATGCCAGCAACCATCCCAAAGGCGTACAGACAACAGCTTTGTCTGAGCCAAAAGGCCCTGTTGACTGACTAGTTTAAAGCACAAGCAGAGGAATTTTGCATTTGTTGATGTCAGACTGTGTAGGGATGCCACCAGTTCAGGCACTCCAAAACCTAAGAAAGAGTTCCTCACAAAACAAAAACATAAACAAAAAAATCTTGTGGCATATCTTTTCAGAAGCAGCTGGTAACATCAGGAACATAGATATTGTTTTTTTTGCAGAGGATATGATGTCGTTCTGAGTAACAGGCATATCTGTGTTTTTCAAGATTTTGGGGTTAACCAGCTTTGCAGGGGGAAAAAAAAAAAAAATCTATTGCAAATCACATTACAGAAACCATGAGACACAAGGGCAGAAAAGACAGCTAAATCCATAGAGGATGTAACTCTATGGAGGTAAATTGTCTACAGAAATTTGGCCCAGCGTATTTTTCTTGGAATGAAGGAACAAAACTGTTCCAGGGCTGGGAGGGGAGCTGTTCTTCCTGAAGCTCCACGCTGTCTCCTCTGCCACTCACAGGATGATAAATCAAAAGGCTGATACACTCATCATTTTTGTGTGTCTTTGAGAAGTACAATGACTTACATCATAAATGTGTTCCTTGCTGGCTGCTATACTGCCACGTATGACTTCAGTTCAAATAAAAGTCATGGAAAAGCTAAGTTCCCAGCAGGTTGCAAGCAGGAGGGTGCTCGTATCTGCATTTACCAGGTAATAAGCTATTATATAGTTGGCTACATTCTTTTCCAGTGTAAATCAGACTAAAGACAGGTTAAGTTTTCATTTGATTTTTGAGTTGATTTCACTAAATTAAGCAAAACGAACTTCACCGGAGAAGAATAGCTTACAAAAGTGCAGTCATCTCCAAACTTAGAACTGTAATGTTAGGCTGGGTGTGCTTCTTCCCCAAAATAGCTGGTTTCTCTCAAAAACTACGGCAAGATTGGATTTGGACTTTTCCAGTTCAGAAATACCAAGAGAGTCCCACTCATTTAGTTCATATTTTTAAACAGTGTTGAAAATCCACTAAATAATTATGAGGAACAGAGAGACTGGAATTGTTTTTTACCCAGACTTACGTGGCTAGAAAGCACACAAGACCCACACAATGAGCTCTCACTGTAGTGATCTGCTGACCATTCACTGTCAGGGTTGACAGTCCTAAGAAACTTCACCTTTTTCAGGAAACACAGCTAGAGCAATCCACTTCAAACGTATTGAACACCAGTAAAAATAAAGCAGTGGTTTCCTGGTTTATGGCATTGCCAGCTTCTAGCCTGTTAATCCCAATTGTCATATTGGCCTGATGCTTTTTGATGCTGACATCTCTCTTCCCATGTAAAGACAAAAAACAACAGCCAGACTAAAAATGCATTTGGGTTCATTAAGATGGGTGTCTGGAATGCTTATGTTCTCCCCTTACATTTACCATGACACTTTAAAATAAACACCAGGGGTGAACCCAAGATATTACTTTTTTACCCTTGCAGAAGTTACTTCTTCACAAACGTGCTCCATCACAAAGCATGATTTCAATTTTTACACTATTGTGTTTAAATGGATTTTGCTCAGTTTGTATTTTAAAATCAACAAATTAGAACATGGGCCATTTCCTGGGGATTAATAAGAATGACCAGCTGCAAAGAATGGATGGTGTCAGGCACAGCTGGGGACCACTAATCTCCCTGCACAAAATGAAAAATATTATACTTTTCCTTAATGCCTCAGAGAGATCTAGTTGGGTCTGTAGGCATGCACCATCTGCAGAGACTTAGTTCACAGAATCCTGCATGCTTCAAGTTGCTGGAAAACTCTCTTGGTAGTCCCCCTTCAAAAAAACATTAACTTCTAATCAGGCAGTAATTCGGATTAAATGAGAACAGAGAAAAATTAAGTTTTCTTGAGATACAATATCTCAAATGTACCAAGAAATGAAATCCAGGAATTAAATTCTATTCTCAGGGTAAGGAACTAGCCTGCAAACCTTCTGGGAAGGGATTGTCCTTCAGTATGTGTTTGAACAGCATCTAGCAAAATGGCTCAGATTTCTAGGCACTGTTGTAACACAAAACAATAAAAATAACTGCAGGAATATACACAGAACTACTCCAAACAACTCAAGCGAAGTGGGGAGTACCATTCAAAGACAAAGGTACATTCCTTGTGAATGTTTTCACTGCATGTAGTTGAAAATACAATATTTTACCTTTAAATAGCGCTATGGAGGGAGCTGATGTTTGAAATTCAGAAGCAGCAAATATGTCTGATTTTCAGTCTGTTTCATCCTACTTTCCTCAACACAGCCAGCTGCATTTACACAAACTAAGGTTTTGGCCTTATAACTCATCTCTCTTTGTCCTTTGTACGGGTAGAAACGTTAACACCGAGGTCTCTTCCACTAGAGAAAGGAGGCAGGGAGCTCCATGGAGAGACACGACACACTCTGCGAAGAGGTCCGTCGATCCTGCACAGCTATCTATTTACACGCTTGGAGACAGAAAGGCTAATAGTTGTGGGAACAGGATATTTTGTCATATACTATTATTCTGGCTTGAGAGTGAGGAAAATCTGCTGGCTTTCCTTCTAAAGTTATTGTATTTCCAATTGCTTGCAAGGTCTCCTGGAGCCCAGAGAGGTATTCTGTTAAACACTGAAATAAATAAAAACTGCTGTCTGATTGGCCAGAGATGAATAATTTCTACTACCCCCAGATGTATCCATCTAGGATGTGCTTATTCGTATGATATGTGAACTAATTGTTTAACACTACCCCAGAACATCGTATTGTTCACTCAGAGAAAGCTACACAATAGAAATTTATTGACTCATCACACTACTATTTTTTAGCCAATTATGTGCCAGGATTTTTCCTTTGGATATACAACAATAGCAGAAAGCAGCTTCATTTCCTTGGGACTATTACTCTCCTGGGTGGCAAAATTAAAATCAGCCTCTCTAAAACACACTTGTGACAGCTTACAGCAACTCCAAACGGCAGAAAGGGCATCCTTTATTATTGTATGCTATTAGCAGCGATTTGGAAAACCAAGGGAGGCGTAGAGGGGGTGCTGTGCGACACCCAGTGCAGCGCGGGCCAGCACAGAACCTTTTGGCCATCTCTGTCCCACCAAACGCTTCCACGCAGCACAGCGGCCATCACAACAGCGTCCAGAGGGGAGGGGACAGCAGCAATTGCAATAATTACTGAATAACGAGACGCTTGGTAGCAAACCGCCTTGCCGCTGTCCTTAAAAAAATAAATAAAATTAAAAATCGGAGTGACCTAGTCATTTTATTTCTTCGGAGACAGCTGCCAGGTGGGAGGAACCTCAAGGTCTTTCCCTCTCACCCTGCTGGGGCTGCCAAAAAGGCCTTGCAGCAGCCCCCAGACCGGCCTCACCCTCCCGCCCAGCCCTGCGTGAAGGAGGTGGAATTTTTATCCCATTCCACAGCACCTCACCTGGGCGATGCCTTTTGCACTGGGGCTTCTGCAGGAGCCCCTGACTGGCAGCTGGGTTCAAACGAGCAGCCAAGATTATAAAAAAAACATATATAAAATATTTATATTTACACCTCCCATCCCCGACCCCTCCAAATCCCAGTGCTCAGGACATGCCCCAGCAAGCGCAAGGTGGAGCAGAACATTTAGCAGTGTTACCTCCTGGCCCAAACAGCATCGTTGGTCCCTCAGCTGATATGTTTGCACAGCTCATGGAACAGAGAGAGTGCGGAGGGAC